GGGGGAGCTGTGATTGCTATACTGCGTTCGTGCCACCTTTTCCGTACACGGCTGCGTTCTCGTGTGATTACAGTTTTCTTCTTTTTCTATCACTGAACTACACTTACCGCACAGATCGAGAGTGATACTGGACAACAATCGCATTTCACACCTTCCTTTTCTTATGTAAATAATCTCTCTGATCTGTGTACAGGTTGCGCAGGCGTGCCTGTCTCTCTGATCCTACTGTCCTCTCTCCTTTGTTACGGTCGATTCCTTCTTGCTTCTCCACTGTCACTGCGCTACCACCAACATGGAGCAAGACAGTTTTTTATTAAACAAAAAAGGTGAGCAACGTGAGTGTAAAATACCATGCCCGGTCAAAATCACACGGCGGCCGAAGAATATTACAGTACAAAGCAGTTCCATAGGAATCACAGACGGGATTACCCCCGAGCCCGGCCTGTAAATGTTAGGAACGACATGTCCATACCGTTCTCAGCATAAGCAGTGTCGCCCGTACATTGGACGCCGTCTCCAAGGACATGGCCGGAATCTCCACCCTATCGACTTTCGAGTGTCGAGCTCATTACGCTATAAAAAGGGCGAGGGCTAAGCTTTCTCATCACCACCAAAGCAGAGCCTGACGAGCACCTACTATCCACTTATACATCCCTCCTCCTCGTCGGCAGCATCTGCATCTGCAATGGCCAACCACGGAGCCGCCGCTCTCCTGATCGCGTCCCTGCTCGTGGTGGCGGTCACCCTCGCCGACGCCAAGATCACGGGGCAGCTGCAGCGCGGCAGCATTAACGGAGGTACGTCCGCGTCAACCGATCAACATCGTCCATGATCTGGCCAAATGTGCTGGATTGTAACCCTTTGGACGTGTGCCTGTCTGTGCGTTTCGCAGTTTATGCATTGACGAAGGCGGTGCCGGCGCTGACGTGCAACAAGGTGAGCGCGGTGCAGACGGGCGAGACCTGCTCCTCCCTCGCGGAGAGCGCCGGCCTCAGCCAGGAGGACTTCCTGGGCTTCAACCCCAACATCAACTGCGTCAGGATCTTCGTCGGCCAGTGGGTCTGCCTCGACGCGTCCTCTGCCTAACACGCCGTTGGATGTGCGTGCGCAGCATCGTTAAGTTGCTGCTACTTATGCATGAATAAAGGAGGCTAAGTCGCTCTGACGCTCTTCCGCATATGCCTCCCGCCATTATTCGAGTTGAGTTTACTATTTGTACTTCCCTCGCAAAAGGATCGAGGATTCGAGGTTGTAGTCCGTCACTCTGTCTTTGTGCCAGCTTTGGATTTAAAACTGGTTCAGTTGGTTCGAGGCAACACCTCTCTGGATGGTTGAAACACATCAATGGGTTATATAAAATAGAAAAGCAACGCCTTTATACCATCATTGATGACCTCGACAAAATTGCAGAGACCCGCATCTTATTTCAACATGAGATTGAATTGAAAAATCAATCTAATGAGAAGGTTGCTCGTTTTTTGCGAGAAGAGGAGATCAAATACTACCAGAGGACCAAAGCTGACTTCATTCTAGTGGGAGATAGTAATACATGATACTTCCAATTGCTCGCCAATGGTCGACATAGGAAGATATGTATTAATAGTCTCCAACTAGATGAGGGGCGGATCGAAGGTCAGAGGGAGCTCAAAAACTATATCACCAGCTACTACAAATCTCTGTTCGGAGCGTCGGATGAAGGGAATGCCACCCTTGACGAGACCTGAACAAATGATATTCCACAAGTCACGACAAAAGAGAACTATATCCTCACGACACCTTTCTCAGAAGAGGAGGTGAGAGTGGCGGTGTTTCAAATGGAACACAACAAAGCTCCAGGCCCTGATGGTTTCCCCGCAGAATTCTATCAGAATTTCTGGGATATCATCAAGGCTGACCTTTTGGAGTTGTTCAATTGTCTTCATGCCGATCGACTTGACCTATTCAGGA